AGAAAGCTACTCCTCCAGTTTCATTACATGAATGTCGATCCCGCATTCTCACATTCGTACAAATTAATGAGATACTGTATTTCTTTCTGAAATTAATGCTTTCGAAGAAAATTTTCGTCACAAAAATTAACGACGAAGAATTTGTAGATTAAGCATATGAAGGAGCTGAGCCTGAGAGGCATCGCTGTCCACCACAGTGGCATTTTACCGTTCATGAGAGAAGCTGTTGAGCTGCTGTTTCACGAAGGTCTGATCAAGGTACTGACGCCATTCTAGGTATGCGACCTTATAATGCAAGTCGATTTTCGTTTCAGGCGCTGTTCGCAACGGAAACTTTTGCAATGGGCGTCAACATGCCAGCGCGAACCGTCGTTTTCGACAGCCTCAGGAAACATGACGGAATGAATTTCAGATATCTGCTTCCTGGCGAGTACACACAGATGGCGGGAAGGGCTGGCAGACGCGGTCTGGACAGTACGGGGACCGTTATCATCGTTTGCAGACCAATGATGAAGCCTACCGATGTGTTGGTTCTGGAAACCATGATTCTAGTAAATCGGCCAGTTTGATGATCATCTCGGGCTTAGTCAAATAAGTTTCAGATTAACTCTCGATAGTAGACTGAAAGTTTACATATGACTTAGCACATCGTCGTAATGGCGAACTGCAAAATAACCAAAGCGGATAACTCTGCATTAATATATGTCCAGTCTTGACTATATATGGATGCGGCTAAAAAACCTCATGCTTGACTCCGTGAAATTAAATTTGGTATGCGACTGGTAGCGCAGATACGACTTGGCCCCATCACCGTTTCTAGTTAGTTTGCGCAGACCTAAAATTTGACCTGATCGATTCGAGGTCTCTGTGTAAGTCTCTGCCATTCATGTGTAATCCAAAAGCACAACCAAAACTTATGCTAGCCTTTTAGAATAGTATCGCTGCGAATGTCAAAGTTTGCTATCCGTAAAATCATCTCCCAATGGAACTGCATTATAGGTCGAGGCATACACACAAGTCTGGCTCTCATATTCATTGGACCTATGCTCAATGCGCGGTCAGAAGATAGCATGCTAAAATCCTGACTGGGGCATTCACCTTTCAGCCTTTCGAGTTGATGAAAAAATAGCTTGTAGAAAACGGCAGACGATTAATAGCTGTTATGGGTTGCGATTCCGCTTGAAGCTCTCTGGAAAAAGAATGAAACAAATGGTAACTTCTCAGACATAAATCAGACCGATATGATAAAATAAAGACGCTGAGCGAGGTTCGTTGAAAGGCAGTGCAGATGTCCTTGCTCCTGAGTGGATTGTTCTCTCAGTCGAAAAATCACAATCAAATGATTAACACTTGTATGATAAAATTTCCTGGCAAGGTCACATGGCAGATGACTCAAAGACTGACAAATGACCAGATGGCTCGAGTTTGTTGAACGGCGCATGACGTTCTAACGTCTTGTAAGCCAACCTACATAGCTCACCAGATTACTGAGGTACTATGGCCATTAGAAAAGCTTCCTGTATCCGTTGCCAGGTTACAAAATGAATAAATTAACGGAATGCATCATTGTGGTTATTCAACTGTTTTAAATGCTTCATATATTTTGCTTGTACCTTGCAGTTCTGTTCCTTTCGAAAAGTTGTCTCTTCCCCCATTCCTTACAGTATGATTTTAAAGACGACGAACCGGACAGATGCGTTTGAATAGTTTGATCAGTTTGTGGCTGTGAAATATTGCAAGAACAAATGAATAGTTATATTCACATTCCTTAATTTTTGTCTGTTTTTGGAGCACCCCCAAGAGACATGTAACACATCTTAAAGTTGTTGGATTAGCCACTACGTCATATGCACAATGGCTGTATGCAGTTATGGATATAAACACCTGCATTTCAACCTAATCATTTCACAGCCATGGATTAATAATTTCGGCGTTTCTTGGGGTTCATGTGTTGCCTCATTAGTATTCTCGTTCTTCAAGAACAACTAACTGACCGAACAGCATCGCGACTGCACTTGGAATACATCATTGCGTTGCAGTTGTCGCCATGAAGACCTCGTTGAGAACAGCACCGACAGGAAGTAGCTATTTAATTGGTCTTTCTCACGCGGAATTATCACCCATCTGCTTGTGTGAAATTTGTTTTTATCTCTCAAGGAAGGCGTAACCACGACATCTTCAATGGCACTAAAGAAAAATTAAATTATTACAGACACAGACTGTCCGAACTAATGCAAATACCGCTATTTGATCGCTGGTGTCAAAGGTTGTTGTTTTGTCATCATGATCTCAGGTAAACATGGCATAAACAGCCGAGTTACCAGATTTATGATGTCTTGAAGTTAGAAATGGTACTTCAGATTGATATTAGGCAAGTGCATTGCTGCGGCAATGGTCAAATATTTTTCCGCAAACAGTAATGCCTCGACAAGGTGTTTCCACGTTTTGTATTGTCCTTTAACGTCTGCGCCTTCGTATTTTCGTCTACGGCCTGTGCCTGATCCGGTTCCCAAGCGAGATTCCTAATATATTGCCATTCTCTTTTTTGACCTTTGTTTCAAACCATGTTAAGCGCCGGTCTCTAAGCTCATCTGATGGTTTTTTCACGTCAGTAGTCGTTTATGACCCGGTTGTGCCATCGCATTTTGAGAATATTGTGCAGACAGCGTTGAATATTGGACACAGTCTAAATGAACTTCATCACTATTCAGGACGATAGATGGTTCAAGATTGTACCGGAGTACCGGCTGCTTTCAGAATGGTGTTCTTCGCATTCGTTCTTGTAGTCTAATCCTTCGGTATTTCAAACAGCTTGCCATAATTCGCTAATTCACTTGTCGCCTTCGTTAATCAGCACAGTTCAGCAACAGGTTGGCATTATCTGATCACATGCTTTAGACCATCAGCAACATTAGAGGCGTTAACTTTACCTTTAGTCGTTTTGTCCGCAAGTTTTGACATCTATCTCCAGTTTATTTGGTGCGCGGTTCGTCTTCTGTCGAACCTGACCTTCTGCACATCGCGATGTATAAGACATTCATCAGCTCTAGCTAATTTCAGTAGGTTTTTTGAATAAGATTTTTCTTGAGGTTGTTTAAGATAGCTGTATGTCTTACATTGAACGAATATTTGAGGATGCCACCTAGTCGCTCCGTATGGAGGTAATAGTCTGCTATGAGTAGAGACTAGCAGTGTAAACTAGTTAAGTTCATTTTCCTGGTGACAGCAACTGTTCTCCTTCACTTTTATCTACCCTGGTTCATGTACACGGTCCATTTGCCCTAATGCGTTGACTGTAAATCTATACAGAAATTACATAATAGTCTTTGTTTTTTTATGTTGTGCAAATGCATGTCTGTGCACAGTGAAATAAGAGGCATATATAGCAGTACCGAAATGCTGCAAATGGTATGCATACGGGAAGAGGACAGCCTTGATCATGCCATGCTTAGTGCTAACGATTGTTGTTTATCGTCGGGCATACCTTTATTGGATCTGACGTT